ATCGAGTAAAAACCTGACCCCTCTTGACCTGCTGGTACTGGTTCTATTGCCCTGATCTCCCGAAGGTGCTGGATCTCTTGCTCCATTAGGGACCGCTTGGCTGGGGAGGAGGGAGTGGGGCAGCGAATGAAGTGTTCTTCCCCACAGCCTGGCTCTGCCTGCTGAGGGCCTCTGAGGCCGCTTTGCTAGCCTGTCTGGTGAGGCTCCTGCTGCTAGAGGGCCCTGGCTGCATTGCCTCTTGATTAGTGTTGTCTGTGAGTAAGGGGAGTCTGGGCACCACCTGGAACATAGTTGGGGATGTGAGGGTAACTGCAGCTGCTTTTTTGCAAAAACGGGCCCGTTTTTTGTCAAAAAAAAATGCATGCATAGCCTTATGGAGGCTTATAGAATGCTGCTGGGGGGGGGGCAAAAATGGGCTGGTTTTTGCTTATTTCTGCCCTCCCCAGTCCCCAGGAGCTCTCTGAAAGCCTCCATAAGAATATGCACGGCCATTTGGGTGAAGGGGGTGGAGCTTCGGGAGGCAAAAAATGCTGTAATCAGTGTATAAGATGCACCCAGATTTTCAGCCTCTTTTTGAGGAAAAACGGTGCGTCTTATACTCCAAAAAATACGGTGACTGAAACTCCAATCAATCCATCTTTTTGCAGATGCCATGCAATTTACAGTTTTATGTAAGAGAATCTGTTTTTATTATCAGCTGTTCTAAATTAGCTCTTCTGGATTAATATAGTATTAATAAAGTATTAATTCATTCCCAACGGAATAACATACCTGCGTGCACTGCAGGATGAAGAGTTTTCACACGTCCTCCAAGCATTTCTGGAAAGCCGGTAAGATCGGAAACATCTCTGTTCCAAAAGGGAAGGAGTCAAGAGCATTAAGTAGCACCTACAGCATTCATGTAACACAAGGGTCAGCATCTAGGCTCCCGTTTTGCTGCCTCTGGACTGTTTTCTTATTTACGAGAATATATTAAGCCATGCATCAAAAGCAAAGTGTCTCCTCTGTGGGATAAAGAATGGTGGACCCCATGTACTTGTGTGATCTTATTTCATGTCAATTTGGGATTCTTGGGAAAAAGTGGAGGGGTCAATACTTTGGACCACGTTGGTACCACCAATGGGACATTTCGTACAAGTTTCCCTTCAGACTGTAGCTTGGTGTAAATTTTATCGATTTGCTCCATAGGTTGTTCTACTGGTTTTTCCCTTTGGAATTCTGCATCTATTTTATCAATTTTTATTTGTTGCCTCCATGTTGTATTTAAATAACAATTTATAAATGCAGCCTAATAAATTCTTTTGGTTATGTATTAATATTTCAAATTCTGCCATTTTTCTTAGAGTTTCTTCTCTTTCTCCAAGATTGCCTCAATTTTTTTTAACCATTTGGAAATGCCTTAAGCGTGAAAGATTCCTTCCTTTACTAAGCAATTATTGACAGAATTATTGATAGAACTAAACTTGCTCCTAATACATATACCAAAGTGGATGCCATTATTGATACCTACACTTCTTTTGCACTTTCCAGAACATTGTAATTTTTCTTTTTTCCCCTTTTCTGATATTTTTGCCACTTTTTAAGATGGTGTATACATTACATATTACTAGGGCACAGAATTAAAATCTTGAGTTGTGTAGCAAACCCCAACTTTGAAGGAAATGACTACCCAAGGGAGATATATATATAATGCTTACTCTAAGAGTAATATTTAACATTGACTTTGCTTGAGAACACGTGACCTTGGGACACAGTAATAGGCATAAATATGAATCTGTTGCCAAGTATCTGAATTTTGATCACATAAACATGGGGATGCTGCAACGGTCATTAACTGTGAAAAATGGTCATAAGCCACATTTTCCAGTGCCATTGTAACTTGGAATGGTCACTAAATAAACTGTTATAAGTCGAGGAGTACCTTACAGCAAAATGTTGATTTAATGGACCACTTTGGAGGGAAAGGGTATCTCTTTATGTCACTGATGTAATTTTTAGCACATATAATAGATAGTTATCTGTATCAATATTAATATTCAACCTCATCAACATAGTGACGGTATCTTGCTCGTCCCGTAATGGCTGCATCCAAGATCCATAACCATCTTGCTAAGGTTGAGTTTCACTCTCTCTAGGCCCTTTCAGTCTCCAGGCAGTGAGCAAGTACCTGAATAGCATAATTTGTCCACCATCGGAGAGATGTATAATGGGATAAGTATAATGGGATACCGATGATGATGATGATGGACTCTCTCAGAGACGTGATACGGATATTAAAGAGGAGGAGAGAAAGACAGAAGCTGAGTAACCCAACATGGGCCTAGGGATGGACTTCTCCTCTACCATCGCTTACTGGTATCAGCCACAGGGGCCGGGGGGGGGGGGGGGGGGGGGGGAAGGGGAAACTATTGCAAAATGGCATCTCCCACTCTCAATCCCTGGAGATGGTCCAGCAAAATACCAAGCAATAGTGTCAAAAGCCACTAAGAGATCTAGG